TTCAAGTAGTTAGTTAGTTAGTTACTTTCCATTTTATAGTTAGTGGTGTCATAGTTAGTTATGTAACTAATTAGTTTGTTAGTTTGTTAGATTGTTAAGTTGTTAGTTACTCTTTTCTTTCTCCACTAGATTGACAATCTCACATGTATATATACACCTCTTGGGTGATCAATGCAGTCAATCAATCATCTTCTACAATACAATCTCAAGAGTATACTTTGATATTCTCCTTATGGAACTTCACAGCCTCATCAATGGTTGCTCAAGTTCAGCTTGAAGGTTTCGATAAGTCGGATATTTGATGGGTTTTGCGAGGTGGAAGCTTATTCACTTCATGGTTTGTGCTCCGGTGTGGCGGAAGAAGGAGAATGGCTGGATAAAATGAATGGAGATTTTGGGTTGCCGGAGATTGGCCTTAATTTTAGGCTTTTGCAAAAGATAAAAAAGCAAAAAAAAAAATGTTACCTCGGTTCATTTTTGTTTGCTATGAGTTAATTCAATTAATTTTTAAAGTTAAAATTAGATTATATTAATTTGATGTTTTTAACAAAAATTTCAGATATTTAAAAACTATTAACAAAAAAGTACTATAAAATGTAATTTTTTTTATACAATATGATGCAAAAATTACATTAAAATATTAATCAATTTTTTTATAATTTAACAAAAAAAATTATACAATTAAAAGTTGACGAAAAAAGTATAATTTTACAGTAGCATGAAAAAATTGGTAATTATGCAATGAAAAAATTGACGTGCTTACTGGATTTTGGAAGGAATAGACATAAATATCGAAATATCGTATTAAATCGAACTTTGGATTTTGATTTTAGGATATAAGTATATAACCACTTCAATACACCGAATGAGCATTTATTTAATCTTTTTTTTCGTTTTTTAGTAGTCATTCTTTTTTAGTCATACAATAAAAATTTTAATTAATATTTTTATCCTATTGATATATAAGTAATTATAATTTATATCACTTTTTATATAATTTTTAAATATTTAAAATTTTACTTTAAAACATCGAATAAATATAATAAAACGCAATCAAAACAAACTCACCATTACTATTCATTAGTCAATATTGTGACACGAATCCGCCTTACAAGTTGAATATTTTTGGGCATTATGGTGAATCTCTCTTAGCATGGATGACACACAAGTTGAATATATATCAAATCTTATCGAACTAAAGTAGTTAGGCTCGATACTATTGAAAAACTATAACCAAAAAATTATATCAAAGTTCAAAAAATCCACTCCAAATTAGTATTGAGTATTTTCTTTTAAAATTAAATATGTATCAAAATATTTTGAAATCATTCTCCATCGTTGGTTACAACTTATAGAGATAGCCGCCTCTAGAAACCGACGAGCAAAATGATTCCAACATTTAGGGTTCCAAGGACTGTACTTAGAGGTTGAACGTTGTGTCCATAAGTAAATACGTACAACTTTTTCACTTTGTTTGAAGTCTCAATAATCTTATAGAATCTACTTGCAACTTGTTTAGTTTGTTTGGTAGTTTCAGGTTGCATGCATCCATCTTAGGCCGTTAAATGAGCTGATTGAATTGAGATTATAAATATAAAAATTAGTTGAAATAAAAATTAGAGTGACTAATCATAACCTGTTCAAATTTAGACTGAACTTAAATTAGCTAAAATCGAATTGAATCATGAACTCAATAATTTTAACGTATTTATTAACTTTCATAATCATAATTTGAATTTCAATTTAAGAATTTTTTTTAAAAAAATAAAAAATATAAAATTGTAGAAGATATAAAATATATAACAATTCATATTTTCAATACAGTATAATAAAAACGACTTTTACCTGTATTAAATATTAATATTAATAAAGAGTGTCAAAATCTTTATCGACATCAGTAAAGTGTCATTAGAACCAATGTCATTAAAGGCTTTAAGGACATATACTACGAGTGTTAATTGTTGCTAAAAATAAATATTTAGCATTAATTACCGCTTATGATCATTTTTGATATAGTAATATCAGAATGTATATTACATCAATGTAAATAAACAAGCTTAAGACATGTTAAAATTTAAAATTAAATTGCACTCAATTAAATATTCTTTTAAAATAAATTAAAATTTAAATAGGTTGAGATTAATTCGACTCAAATTATCTTGAGTCAATCTCAATTCAGATTATCATGGGCGTAACTCATGAAATTTTTGATGGATTGTACAAATTATATAGTATAAAGTATAGAAACCCATACAATTTGGCGCTATCCTCTTTCGAAAGTTTATCAAATTACAATAATTATAGAATTTTCAGAGCCTCCAAATTATATTTTTTTAACATCGTTAACAGATTAAAATTACCGTTCTATCAGTAATTTTGTCCAATCTCTTTTAAATTTATTTTTAGTTAAAAATCATTGTCTTGACAGCGATTTTCGTTAATATTTTTTTTTAAAAAAAATGTTGTTCTTAAAATATCGCTACCAGGCAACGATTTTAGTGGAGTTAATTAGTAGTACTATGTAATTAAGTGCACCAAACTATTTGTTTATTCTAAGTTCTATCTATTTATCTGATAGAGCAAGATATGTTAACGACGTCAAAATAAATCACTATATCAATAACGATTTTACCTATTTAATTAAAAAAATTAATATATTTTTTTAAAACTTTTGTCAATTTTTTTTTTCCTTTTTAAGCTGTGGACTCTTATTTTAACCCCCAATGCATCTTGATCCAATGTCGTCACTTTGTTGGTTAGATTGGTTTAATCATTCATCGTTTAGCGAATACACTAGTATATGTTTCACTTCTACCGCTACAACCGCTATGCCAGTATGCTTGCTAGAGATAAGTTTGAGAGAACATTCAGGTGCATAAAACAGGAACTAACTAGTATTTTAAGTTTGGAGTTAAAATTAAAAGCTTAGAGATTTTAAATTTTAAGATGAAGGAGAAAAATATTGTAAAAATGTTTCTTTAAAAACAAAGTAGATCTGAATGCACAATACTAGTATAAAAGATTTATTCACTTTCCCTTTCTTAGCACTAAGTTGTAAATCAATTTTATCATGCAGAATATATAAACATGACTCTTAATTCGGTGTTAACGAATAATTATGCTCTTTAACTGTGAATGTGCGCAAGAGATACTTAAACTATTATAAAAATTGTACAAGTAGACTCAAGTGTCCTACATGACATAATGCATGTAAGATATTGTCATGTAAGTTGTCATGTGGGATTCAGTTGCTCAATTTTATACAAGTTTAAGTGTTTACTTGTGTACGCCCATAGTTAAAAATTATAGTCATCAATTAAATTAAAGTAAGGGTTATCTTTATATATTATGTCATTTATTATGAAATTCACAAGTTACTATATATAAAATTTTATTTTAGACGGTGGCGCGGGCACCAATGTATATTACAGTGCAAGTGCAGGTCAGTTGCCGTGCCAGTATATCTAATCCAATTCATTTAGTTATTTGAAAAATAATACTCCATCTCTTACCAAATTTAAAAGTAATTTAATTTTTAAATTTTATTATAAGCAAATGTTTTGACACATATTGATTAAATATCATTAAATATAATTGAAAAATAATATAACAAATATCCAAATTAAGACACTACTAATTTGCTTTCTTAAGGAAATTTAAATTTTATCCTATCACATATAATTTTTACCAATCTAACAATATAACTCTCGATCTATCCTTTTTCAAATTTTAAAAGTTTACCAATAGTAACTCAAATACTAATTAAAAAGCCTTAAACTTCACTCATAAAAACACTTTTTTTCCGAGTTGCTCTCTTTTATACGGGGACTCAGAATTTATCTGTTTTCTCAACTTTATGCCAACCTCACTTTTTTCATGCAATATTTCGTCTCGTACTCCTCAAAACTCCAACACAAAAGAAAAAAAGAAAAAAAATGCCATTATTTATAAGTCTTAAATAACGTACAATAAAAGGTTAATAATAGGGTAGAAAATGCATCAGTGAATAATTAGTACTAGTAGATTATGATTTATGACATTAGTAATTACACGAGTTAAAGATTATATAAATTACAAAAACGTCACTTATTTTTTATTCGATTACCATCTCAGATTTTAACAAAATTCGAAATACCATCTGCATTAGTAGAATGAATAAAATAACTGACATTTACATTATTACATATATGATGATTCAATCTAGTTTTTACTTCCCAAACAAATAAAATAATATATAGAGTATGAAATGAAATAGTGTTGGATAATCTAATTGAGATCGTCTATTTGTCGCGGTTATCACTGGGTCCCAAAAGATGTCATGTAATATTTTCAGTGTCCAACATTGAATGTAGTGCCGATAGGTACGAAACAATAAATTTTGGGCTGAAACAGAAGCAGGAGAAAATTAATTAAAACATATCGGAAACATTCCACTCGATTATTAATTAGGTTGATTAATATATACTACAATTTTGTCATAGGCGTAGGATTATATCACGACAAATTAAAGCAGGATGAGGACGCAAAGGAAGTTGTATTCTATCTGCAAATATATACTCCCTCCGTCCATTATTATTTGTCATAATTTCTACCTCTAGAGTCAATCTATAATACTTTTTATTAATAATGTATTTTTTTATTATATTAATATAAAAAAATAATTTATAATATTTTTCATGTAATTTTTAAATATTTAAATTTTTATTTAAAATATCAAATTAATATAATATAATTTAATTTTAAAAATTAATTACATTAATTTTGAAAAACATGAAATGACAAATGAAAATGAACGGAGAGTTAAAATACTATACGAAGTCCCAACGCAAGGTTATATTGTACTCATAGATGAGGACGAAACTCTATCTAGTGCTGCATGTGGACAAACAATAAAATGATAAAATCTGAAATATTTTATTTTTCCTGTGGTTTTGTCATGTAAATAGGACTATATATAATTTAGCTTGTATATATGTATTTACATATGAATAAATCCAACTAGGTAACATAAAATGGCCAGTAGTACTTCTAGTGATAGTCCAACGGAGCAAGAATGCGTATACGAGACATGGATGATTTTGCAACGTAAAGAAGTAATAGAGCTTGAACAAGCTGCAGTTCAAGCCAAAAACGGCCTAAAAAATGAAAATGAACTCACTCAACTAATCGAAAAAACCGTAGAAAATTTTCAAGATTATGCTAACAACCGTAGCCGTCTAGCCCGTATCGACGTATCACCACTCTTGGCGCCAACTTCATGCACCTCGTTGGAGAATTCAATCCTATGGATCGCTGGCTGTAGACCATCTTCTCTCATACGGTTCGCGTACGCGCTATGTGGCATGGACATCGAGTCTCATCTCACTGAGTTTCTACAAGGGAAAAAGGTCGGTGTCCTCAGTGAGCTGACGAATAAACAAATGAAAATGATTGACGCTTTACAAGCTAAGACGATTAGAGAAGAGACTAACCTTTCTTCAAAATTGGCTAGCTTGCAAGAGGACGCTGTGGATCAGCCTTTCGCTGGTAAAATGGAGAATGATTGTGAGAATGCAGATGATGTTTTAGATGAACATAGCCGATATATGGCTGATGTATTAAGAGACGCTGATGAGTTGAGGATGAAAACATTGAAGGAAATTGTACTGAACATACTTAAACCGCTTCAAGCTGTGGAATACTTAGCCGCTGCCAAGAGGCTTAAGCATTGTTACAAAATATGGGGCCAGAAGAGGGATCATCGACGTACCAACGAATAAGACTCCGTCAATTAGAGTTCCTAGTTAAGTTTTCTTTAATTTCTGCAAAACGTGTGTGTGATCATTAATAAAGTTGTTGAATATTAATTTGTAGTACAAATTATATATCTGTGATCGTTAGAGTAGTTGAGTTTTCTGCCAATTATTACATACGTGAGTACTTGAGTTTTCTGCAAATTATATATGTGTGATCGTTAAAGTAGTTTGTCTTGATAAGATTTATAATCCTTCTATGGATGGACAAATTAAGCATTCAATTAGAGTTAGGGTTTTGTTGCTTTTTTTAAATTTATTTATTACTAAGATCACTAACAAGAGAGGGGACATATGGCCTAAACCTCAAATAAACACCAAAAAAAGGGAAATCTACTCAAACAAAGTAAAGACTCACAGATGAGAGTTTCCTGAAGGGGAGGCATTTTCTATTCAACAAAAAAATAGGATTAAAGTAAAGTAGTTGAGTTTTGTGCAAATTACACATGTATGATCGTTAAGAGTTCTGTTTTCTGCAAATTATATATGTTTGATCGTTTAAGTAGTTCAGTTTTGTACAAATTACATATATATATATATATATATATATGATCGTTGCACTAATTCAGTTTTCTGCATATTATATATGAAATTAATCATATTTAAAAGTATTAAATCATGCTAAAATAAGTTTAATAAGTATTAGTTACATGACTAAATATTAAAAGAAAGTAAAAAATTAAATTATGTATTTTAATTGTGTAAACCTATGTAAAACTAAAAAACAAATATTCAATATTATTCTTCATTCTTAGTGTTGAATTGATTTTCTCATTTTGCATTAGTATTAATTTGATTTGAATTAAGATTTATTATAATTACCAACATAAATGGACTATAATTTTTATTGGATCATTAAAAATTTTAACTTTCAAACAAAAAATAAATATATTAAAAGACAAAAACTATAAAAAAAATTATAAGAAATATTTAAAATATATCAAAGTAAATATTTTTACGTATAGAATACAATTTTTAAAATTATATATATAATGTCGGGTTGATTTGGTCTCGGATTGATTTTTTTTAGTTGAAATCAACCCAACCCAAATATAGTCGGGTTTTTTTTTACAAAATCAAATCACTAATCGAATTTTTTTCCTATTTGACTCGATTTGTGATTTGGTTCAATTTTGTACACCCCTACTTACGACCGTGAGATGTTCCTGAATCTAAAATTACAGATAGGCTTAGATATTTTCATGGGCCACGGCCCATTTTCTTGTGTAGTAGTGTTTTGTGAAAGAAGGAAATTTCAAAAAATAACTAAGACCAATACAATCATGCTTTTTAGTTGATGTTTCTCTAATTATGAATCGTAACTATAATTCAATGTGCTACAGAATGCATATATTTCGTGCTTTTGATCTTTTAGTTATACAAATACATTTGACAGTCAACTCCTTAATTAATGCAGTTTGACATTTAATTACTTGATTGATCAATTACTTATAAAATTATATTTTAAAATGGAATTTTTTTTGCAAAGTATGCATGCAAGAAGTATATTTTCCCAAGTATTTCTTACCAAAATAAGTCTCCTGAAGTTCAAAATTTTCTTGTCAATAACCACGTCCGCTGAATAGAAATAGTAAATTAAAAGCCCAGACAAAATGAGCACCTAGAAAAAAAAGTCATATACAGATAAGTTGGCTAGGTAAGCGTCCTGTAGTAAGAGAAGTAATTATGAACCCTGTAAACCATCCCCATGTCTTCCTTGAAAATATGCTTCTGAATTTCTTGAAATTAAAATTAAGAAAGAAAACAATAATCACTAATTGATATCAATAAAACAAAAGTATATAAAGACAATTATTTGTTAGATAAATAAGCAATATTGGATAAATGTAAGAGATATACAAATACAAAAATCAGACAATGACTAAAAATGCATAACTGCTTGAGATATACAAATAATTAATTATATACCAAATAGATATACAAATAGAAAAAAAAAGACACCTGACTGTGTACAAAAATCTAATTCTACACTGATATAAATAAGAAAACATATAAATATAATTGAATGTTAGATAAATAAGCAATATTGAACCAATATAAGCGATATACAAATAAGTAATTAATGTTGGACAACTATTGAAAACACACAAGTTCTCAAGATACAAGTACTAACTCTCTAAAATCATATGCATAATTAATCATTTATCCAAATACAATTTCCTAGAGCTAGAATCATAGCATATACAAATTCATATACAAGACTAAATAGACAACAATTTATAACCAAGAATTTAAGAATAAAATTGTGAATTGATATAGACCTATTGAAAATTTATAAACAATACAAAAGGAGAAAATTAGATTTTATCACCAATACCTTCAATTATTGAATAACATCTTCATCATTCGATGCATAATCAACTCATTTGCATCTTTACTTCAAATCCTGAAATTGAGAAAGCATGATATCTAAGTATTTTCCAAACTTGAGTTCATGTCATCTTTCTTAGACGAAATAAGTGATATGCTACCACTGAAAAAAAAAGGAGAAGAAGAATGTCATTTGAATTATATAGAGCCAAGAGCTGAGAAGTGGCAATGGTACAAAAGACACCTAATTAATGAACTTGGAGGCAACGTATCAATTTAAGTTCTAAAATAGAAAGAGGCATTATATTACTTGGTACTTGATATCAATGTTCGACAAACATAAATAGATATTTGAATTTACATAAAATTAATGAAGTACATATACGTATTTTATATGAAAATTCATATGACATATTTTAAAATTAATGCGTATAATATATGTTCTTATACGGATGTCAGCTGAGCATTACCAAGTATAGGCATATCCTATATATTTTGTATAAATTAATCACATAAAAACAACAATTGTTTACTTGCTATTATGAATTGAAATTTATTAGTAAGTCTTGGTGATCTTTGAGGGGTTTGAAGAGGCAATTTGGAAATTGAGAAAGTTGAAGAGTTAACGTAGGGAATAAGGAAAATATAAGCTTATTTGTGTCCAACACGTGGTGGCCTGTGATTCGATGTGTGAACTAGGTCAAACACAACTTGAATTCGTATATTAAAATATATATATATATATATATATATATATATATATATAAATTTAACTACCGATCACATGTTTTTAAGTTAGATTCAAAGAATAATTACATGTATTAGGTGAAATTAACTTTCAATGGAGGATATCTGGTGATAAGGTCTAAGGGAAGCGAGGAGAAGTTATATTATTATAAAATAATATAATTAAGTAAATACAAAATACTACTATCTTCTTTTCTCTGATTTCCATCTTCTCCAAATTCATCTATGGAGAATTGAGGTCATTAGCTTAAACTAATTGAGTACAATGAAGATGGATGATATTTGAAAAACGAAACAAAACATAGGCGCATTTGACGTCCAATTAGGACAAATTGAGTTGAATGGCTATTTAATAAATAACTTCAATTATTACCAATTTTATTTTGTACATATATAAGTGTTTATACGAGAAAGTCAAGTTAAATGTCTTTGTTATATTCTTGGAAAATTTATATAGATGTGTTTGTAGTGAATTAAAATTTACTAAATATAAATTATGAAGTTGTTCAAATTATATTAAATTAATGAATATATTAGTTCAAATAAATTTCATAGATTAATATAATTGATTTAATTATTTAAATTCAAATAAATGTAAATTTAATCAAGGGATAATTGTATATAATAGCAAACTAATAATCTAAAATAAATGGAGTAGCTACTGTTTGATTTAATTGTGCCCCATAAGAAACGTTTGCCAAAGTTTGTTAGTCGTCTCTCTCCCAAAACTCTCGTTCGCCACTCTCCCATTCTCGCTCACCGTTCTCCCTCTGCTCGCCTCTCTCGCTTTATACAATAGAAGTGTATAATTGTATTTCTGTTTTGTATAAAGCGAGAAAAAATTATACATACACATGTAAAAACATATATCTTCGTGCTATACACTTAATTATATAATTTACAAACATTTTAGTTCGATTCAATTGTAAATGCGAATTTTATACAAATATTGCAGCGAGAAAGGCCAGAGAATCATACAATTGCAGTGAAATACAATTTTCTCTCGCTTTATACAACAGAAGTATAAATTGTGTTTCTGTTTTTGTATAAAGCGAGAGAAAAACATATATATCTTCTTCCTATACATTTATAATTATACAATATACAAACATTTTACTTCGATTCAATTGTGTGCAAAACAAATACTATACACATATTGCAGCTGAATAGGCCAGTGAATTATACAATTGCACATTGTGCAATTGCAGCAAAATAAGCCAGCGAATCATACAATTTAGGCCAGTGAATCATACAATTGTATATGTATAGCGAGGCCAGCGAATTATGCAATTTAGACCAGCGATTTATACACTTGTATATGTATAGCGAATTATACAGTTATATGTTTGGTATGGAGCTCAATTATGCAAACTTCACTATAATATACAAATATGAATTTATTGTTTGCTATATGTGAAAGTTGCCCTTTAATTAAAGTCCGCTCCATAAAGCACATATGATATTTCACTTAAATCTGATTGGCCGAAGGGAGTCCTGTTCTAATGACAACTCCTCTATTCTAAAACTATAAATGGAGGTCTCATAATTCATAAAAAGGGGACAAAGAAAATTATAAACAAGAAGCTAGAGAAAATTTATGGTACAAATGTCATTTAATTCTCTACAAAGCTACAAGTTTAAGAATTCAAGTTCAAGAACGATCAAGATCAAGACCATCGAATTCAAGAACAAGCTCGAATTTATATTTGAAAAGGCGAATTCAGAGGAATCATAGAGATTGTTACATTTGCATTTGAAATAATAAAATCGATTGTTGCTATAATTTTCCGTTTCTGATTATTATTTTCTCGAAGCGAATTTTATTACCTACTTAAGAAATTGTTACGTAGCAATCTTAGTGGACACTTACTATATGATTTTTATACATATTACATAAAATAATTTATAAAACACATGTAATACAATTACACAAAATAATTTATAAAACACATGTAATACAATTCTTTTCATAAGTAGTATATTTATCACATAATTTAATACCC